TTAGCGAAGCTCTTGCTTGGGTCTTCAGTAAAGTCTTCTTTGAGCACTTTCTTACCTACCCAACCAATACCCGAAACGATGGAAGTAATGATAGCTGCCTCTTCAACAGTTTTCAATAACGCGGTTGACATTATATTACAGAGCGAGAAGGTTATTACTCCATCACGGGTATTTTGCTTCTAGGCTCCTGCATTGCATGTACGGGTTCTACCTTTGGCTTAGTAGCCCGCCATTGTAAGTAGAGGCTGCCTGCTGCTATAGCAACTCCCAACGCGCCAATGACGTACCCAGGATTAATAAGGGATTCCTCTTCTTTTTCCTCCACCTTTTCTTCTTTTTTGGCTTTGTTCTTCCTGTTCATCTCCGCGAGCTTCTTCCCCGCGGCAACTCTGCCTGGAGATTTAGCCTTGGTGATTTGTTGCTCGGGCTGCTCTGGTGCTTCACTCATTTATATCTAAGGACTTGAAGGACTTGATAAGCAACTTAAGACGACTTGACTAAGTACTTAAGGATGACTTAACTAGGTACTTGAGGCGACCTGGGTAATTCCCGTGAATGACTTGACTAAGTACTTGAGGTGACTAAGCAAGTACTTGAGGAGGACTTGATAAGTCACTTGCAGGTACTTGACTAGGTACCTCAGCAAGTGCTGCCTGGAAGACCTTTTCGACTTCTCTGTCCTTCTTGAAGTCCTTCCAAGACGTCGTAAGTTCCTTCAAGTTGACATGCTGAGCTACGTGAAGTGCCGCAGAGGCGACTGCCATTAACTTGCCGCACTTCAAAGACAACCACCCGCAGGTTATCTTAAGTTCTTGAGCAATAACGTAGTCATCGCTTACGTCCTTCCGCAGTTGCTCCACGTCGTCTATGGGCAGTGCAAGTCCAAGCAATTTAGTTGCAAGTCGGATAGCGGAATCTGCTACGGCGTCCGTGGTCTTACTTGCAAGGGCAGCCTCATACCTCTTATGGAACTTCTTGACTTCCTCTTCCGACAACTTATTGACCTGCTCATGGGTAAGTTCCCTGCCTATCATTTCTTTGCACTTCCCCGAAGACACGAGGATGTTAAGTTGTTCCTTAAGGTTACTTTCATCTAGCTGTGTGGGGACTTCTATCAACTGCTCGATCTCCATATACATTAGGGATCGGAGATTTTTACCTCGTACGGAAACCTCAAAGAAAAGATAATTTTGGAATGTTGGTGCGTCTTTAAATGTCGCATGTATTCGTGCAGCTGTTCCTTGGATATTTCGCCGCCGTAGTCGCTTAAGATGGTTTCCAGGTCTGACTTACTTGGAGTATAAAATACTACGAGAGATCCTACGTTTTCCCTAAAAGGCTTGGAGACACTGGTAAGCTGCTGCGAGAGCAACCAAACGCTAATGTTGTCATGCCTGCCGCTAAAAGCGAGCTTCACCAACTCTGAGGTGCGTCTTTTTACATCGTGCCCGCAGGCGATGTCATCCAGTATGAGGAGTGTCTGAGTATTCTTGGGGAATTGTTTGTGCCAGAACTTAAGATGGCTGGATAACTCATTGGGGTCTAAGATATCTACAAAGAAGTCGTCATCTTTTACGCCTACACCCGTCCAGGTGCGGTTATTCACGTAGGTGGGGCAAAGTAGCACTATGTAGTC